CGAATTACATCTGACGGTCATGCGTGTTAATGAGAAGCTTAAATCACTGTTTCCCATGAGAATTAAGTTAATTATTTCACTTCCCATTAAAAGCAATTATTTCTGCTCCATACAACTGAGATTCAACTAGACGTTCTTTCGAAAATAATCATTTTAATGCATATTTGAGAGCATTTACGAAATTAATTATATACTGAGTGAAATGTTTGAGTGGATTTAACAACATCATTTTAAATATTATAATGATAATGAGATAAAGAATTTTGCTTCTGAATCCTCAAATCCAGAGAGAAAATTAAACCCAAATTAACCTTTCAGCATTCCAATAAGTTAAAAACTTTGTTTGGATTTTCAGAAATTGGAAATCCACCTCAAAATAATAATTTGCGTTAAGTGAATTTATGCCAGGTGCATAAATTAAAAAAGTGTATTGTACAATTATCTGTAGGTAGTTGAAGTCCTTTGTCAAACATAAATACAAATATTCGGGTACCAGTGTAAATTAGGTGACAAAATGTTATTTTTGTTTAAATTAAAATTAAGAATCTTTCACTTCTAAATCCCATACAGAGAATATAATCCTTTGTATAGGAGAATTCTCTGCAAGACAAGAATATAATTTTGTCCTCGTATCCTAAGTTTCAGGGTAGGCTTTGTTTTAAAGGCCTGTGTGAAAAAATGAGCTACTAGAAACTTCTTGAAAGTTCTACGTATTTATGAAAATACATAAAAATGTGTCAATACTGTTTATATATATATACTATACTTTAGTATACTGCTGTTTAGCATTTGACAATGCACGTGTATTGATATTATAGAGAGCTACTGGGCACACAAAAGAATATAGTCAAATTGTTTCTTCATATTCAGACCTGGAAGTTGTCAAAAACCTATATATTTTTGTGGAATGAAAAATGCAAGATGAGTAGAAGTTCAGCAAACGTACATTCTAATTTAGGCAGAATAATAATGAAAAATACATTCTTAATTACATTAGCGTTGAAAATTTGATAAAAGTAATGATCTAGATTCGCCTTAGCTAACTTTTAAACAAAGAATATTTGCCCACATAATATGGACACAGGAATTATTCCCGTTACAAATACTCCCACTGAAATTATTTACATTTAAAATTTTCACACAGAAAGCATTTATATAAAACACATTTAAGCAGAAAATCTAGACCAAGAATACAAATCTTCTATTATTTAAACAATTAAAACGTAAGGAAAAATATTTATTTGACATTTATACAGCCCTGATCATTCTTGAACGATTGTGTGAATAAAGCTGCATTATACTTACGTTAGAAAAACCATTTGCTTCAGTCTACCCTATTATCCTTATTTGCATTAGCCTACCCAGAACAGTAAATATTTTTCAAATTGTCATTTCCTCTTAAAGTTTGATACAATATTTCATTTTCGTTTTTGTATTTATGTTATATTTTGTGAATTTTGACTGTGCAAATATTTCTGTAGAAATCTTTTATGTATAAATATCCATTAGATAAATACTCCTTGTATAAATTTTCTGGCTTTAAATTACCTTGAGACGAAATTAAATTTATTACAAGTTATATTAGGCAAATGCATCATAAGGTATTTTCTTCCTCCTTTCTGCATGCCTTTGTGGTGTAACGGTAGCACACTTGACTCGTATACGAGAGGTTCAGGTTCGAATCCCGGCGAGGGCATTGCTCATTTTTCATGTCTCCTGCTTAGAACTAAACTAATTTCTTTACAGTATTACTAAAATATGTGTATAAATATATATAATATTTTTATAAATTTTTAGCTTGTTACATATATTCTCAGCCTTTTAAAAATTCTAAAGATTTCTTTAGTATACTGTTACGAAAAAAGTACTGATTGTTCTAATCTATGTACTGATTGTTCTTAAAATTGAATAGCTAGGTACTGATTTTTAGTAATGAGAAACATTGTTCACAGTGATCTTCAGCCGTAGTTATATGAGTTCTTTGTCCACAGTATATGCTTCATACATCACATGTAGCCAAGTAACATGACTAATTACCTACATTAAGTTGGTGGCAGCAACCGAAATCTCTACCAAATATATTAAAGCGAAACGTGAATCAATATTATATATGCTAGCAAGAGACTTTGAGGAATAGGAATTTCAACGATAGTGAAATTTATGCTTTCAGGAGCTGGTATTATTTTTATATGTTTCATTGCTTAGAAACGTATTAAAATATGTTCAACATTCGAAGACTGAGTTTGACACAGGAAAACATTAAAGAGATAGTTTAGTGTTTTTCAAGTTATTAAAATGTTTCTTGAGTCTACATCAAACTTCTGAACTAAACAGGTGGAAGATAATTCATGAACAAGAGCTGGCCATGTTCCACCTTTGTACTAGCTGACTAAAGAAGGGAAAGCAGATACGAAAAATTAAGAACTTTTCTGACATACGTTGTTATGCTTCATGGATTATAGGTCTGGGAGCATGCAAATCTCGTATTCTCCGAATGACGACACAATTTATTTCCAAACGGACACAGAGCTGTATATACTTTCATTTGACCGACATAGGTTTTTCTGTTAATATTCACATTTGCGTTACATAATCAGGGTAAAAGAACTGGACATAAAATTAATTCTGTATTTTATGAGTTTCATTCCGCATTAAGCTGTGTTCTTGAACAACGCTCTAATGAATATTCGTTTTATTTAGGATACATAGGGTGAAATCAAATAGAATAACTTCGTATTTATGAAATATTTTCCACTAAATAAAATCCAGTTCAAAAAGCATTTCAGGTTTAAAACCTTTAGCTTTCTTATTTTAGTTTCATCTTTAAATACAAACGTTAACGCAAAATCAAATGTAGACGATTGCGAATTATAAAATATTAAATAATTTTAAAATTATCGTTATATTTGATGCAGCTGGTAGTGGATGCATGAAACCTGAGTCAGAAATGTCATGATCGAAACATGTTATATATCTTTACAAATGTGTTTCGATAACGGTATTAATACTATATACATTACTAATAGATCAGCATAATGTTATCACGATGCACAGAATTTTTTCACCTCGTTATGCTAATGCGCAGCGTAGTATTAAACCAAATGGTGCTAAATTATTTTTATTTTTAATTTGATGAAAAACATAATAACTGAGCTCAGATTTTTGAAAGAAACAAATATCTCCTATGTGTATAGTTAGTTACAACAAAATATATTTTCCTTTTCGGCGTAACTATTTAAAGAGGAAGTTAATACGCACTTATATAGGGAGGGAGAAGTGATTTGAATTTTACAAAGACGAAACAGTTTTAAATTGTTAATATTTTGTAGGATATTAAGGAAGAACTTTCGAACATACTCTGAGAAATATTATAAAATTGACACTTTTTCCTTCACTGTTTTTCAGGAGAGGCGAACAGTGTCTGCATTCGTTATTTCAGTCCGAAGGACTTCACTGCAAGATAAATTCAGCAGGACATGTTGCGGATGTGAGGAAAGGAGCTTCAGCATTTGAAATGCTTAAATGTTAAGTCGCCGTCTTCAAATGTGGACGCGATAGCATTTTTAAGTTTACCCTGAAGGACATTTAGGCACAATACACGAAATTTCCAGTGCTGTGCTGGTTATGATCACAAATGATTGTATAATTACTCTGAAAAAATTCAAGAGAATTTTTGAAGATCTTCGTAAACGTCTGCCACTAAACATCCGTCAAGAAATGTCTATGAAGAAAATGTCGGCTGTACTGGTCTCTAGAAATTTTACCCTCGAAAAACAAAGAAATGAAGAGTTGGCTGATTTTGAGATGAAAGGCTCTGCTGCCGATGGGAAATGCCCAACCAGTGGTATACTGATTAACGCAATAGTTCAATCTGTTTTGGGATCTATCATAGGTGAACGGATTGATTCCACGGTTGATGTCTGTGGTTTCTCCATACGTAACGTGAGCCTAGGCCAGTTTCTATCGCAGTGTCCTCCACGAAGCAACCTTCATTTTGTGCAAGTAGATGGTTTGTCATATTCAAAAATACCTAACCTAACCTTCGTGGTTTGCTATATTAAAATATATATAACCTCACCTAACGTAAGCGAAGGGGAATAGCATCCATATCTGACACAAACTAAAATAGTTTTAGAGATATGGTTTGGTTTGATAGATCATGTCAAAGCACATTACGGCTAGCTGCCTCACGGCAGGGTTGCCTTCGGGGAGGATTTTCGAGGAAACTTGCTTGTGTACACGTTACACAAGGTATGTCATGGAGGAAAACAGACCACAGAAAACTGAGAAGTCATCTTGCATCAAAACAATATACCTCCTCACTCTGTGCCGCAAGTGAAAACGCTGCGTTGGTCGACTGTGATTTCATCTTAGTTTTCACTTCCCATTCCTTTTATTCTTCAAATCTGCCCGTCAGATTTTTATGTACTCTCACTCTCATATGAAGAATTCACTTCCAGGATGTCCGTCAAAACGGTCCTATAGTAATGGGAAGCTCAGGCCTATTAATAATGATTCAGGATAAAATGTTGTAGTTTTCTGGGCCACATTGTGCATTGATATGGGTAATGATTATGTAACGAAATCATAATGAGAGACTGTAACTCAAACATCTGCTTCATTGTGAGGCTCAAAACCTTTCACCCTTCCCTCGTACATTCCAGGTATGAGGTTAGGTTAGAAGCAATGCATATTTTAGACAAAATATTAAGGATAAACTTCCTTTTTTTGTTTGTTATGCAGATTCTTTATTACAATTTTTGACATTATTTTTCATTTGCCGTTGAAATGCATTTAGATCGTTTCTACTGAAATAAACTAGAAACATAAGCGTAAATTGTGCCAACTTTAAACTTCGTGATATCCTACATACTTCAACGTCACTGAATTATGGATCTACTTAATGATTTTTCTTCGGTACTCAAGATTAAACGTTTTGACAGCAGTTGATAATAGTACTCTTTCTATCAGGGATTAAACATATGAATGTTCATTCTTACCATGTGGCATTGAGTAGCGCCACTCTGATCTCAGGTATTCTCATAATACCAGGCAGCACCGGAGGATAGTAACAAGCCAATATCTCTTCCATATTCATTAGAGGGAAACGAATGAGCTTAAAGATGGAGATAATGTACTGCTCTCTCTCGAGATATCGATGATTGAGCCACTTCAGAGCGGCAAGGAAGACCATGACTTCGCTGTCAGAAAAAAAGACGAATATATAAATAAAATGAATGCTGAAAAGAAGTAAAAATTAAAACCCATGGGGAGAAATTTTATTACATTTACAAACCCAAAGAAAGACCTATGTAAGATAAAACGATTCACGGAACGGTCTATGTAACAATATCATAATCTATAAAATTTTCTCTCTGGTCATAATGGAATTTGCCAAGATCTCCGCTTCTTAGGAATAGAAATATTCAGGTAAGTAATCTTCATTTGTACTATCAAAACTGTTAATAATTCATTTTAACTATAAATTGAATCGTAGTGATTGGAGATCTAAAATTATGCAAAAAAAGCGGTTTTAATTTGGCGTAGTTTTTGACTAAACCTCTGTCCATTCCGAAAGATAGCAAAGGATAAATAAAATCTATGTCTAAAAAAGAAGGATCTATATCTAATAATCCTCGAAATAGGTAGGGATTTTTTTTCACATTGACACGCGAAACTAACAAACTTTTCCTAATTAAAAAAAAATTCCTAGGACTAGAGATATATTATTAAGCGCTGATAATTGACGGGAATTATCAAAACTGCAGTAAAATATAGTAGTAAACTAAGAAATCCTGTGCGAAACTCTTTCTCTTTTTCATATACAGCTGTTCAATTTATGTAGAGAGTGTGTCCAATAATGTCAGCCATCTAGTATAAGTCATGTTATGACTTTTAAGAGTTTCCCTGAAAACTTCTACAGAGATTGTATTTGTCAGGAGTCGAAAATGTGAGATGTCAATTTAGGGAATAATGCGCTGTATGCAGTGCTTCATTGAAGGCGCTGCTGACCGTTTCTTCATTTCTAATTAGTATTCAAGCATTGCAAATTCCTTTACAAGATCTGTTTTCTTTCAATAAGAAAGCTAATCGCTCTTGTTTAGCTAGCAAATAATTATAGGTGTCTTTCTTCCTCAATTAGCAAACAGCTAGTTGTTCTAGTTCTTAACAAGGAGTTCTTGGCACTTGTTTCTGATCATTAATAAAGTATTTATTTATTCTTTTTAAAATTTATTTATTCTTTTTAATGCTGTAAATGTCTTTGGAATCATGTCCTTAACTTGTAAGATATAAATAAATTTCAAAATATAAATGTATAAATTTAATTTAATAGCAGAACCACAATTGAGCTAAGCTTAAGATATAATAAGAGTTTAAAACAGAACAACCTCTCGTGCGATCCCGAGCTTCCCAATAACGTTTAAGCATAGAAATATCCGTTAGAAGAGTACTAAAAAGGAGGCCATCATTGTTCATGAAACGACATTTTAGAGGAGATACATAAAATTATAGAAAATTCTGTTCTTATTTAAACGGGCAGCTAAGCAGTCGGATCCTAAGTATGTTTTGGGTTCTGCTTTGAAGCCCACTCTTTGGAAACAATGTTATTTTTCCCCTTCAGCAGAAAATGGCCAATACTGCCTTTTTAGAAGTGTTCTTTTACACTTGAAGGTACAGAAGAGATACAGAGTCTTCTCACAGTCTCTTTTAGATAAACCATTGCTTTTGGCTCTTCGGAACACCTTCGAGTCACTTTTGTTGGGAGCTTTGGGGAATAATCGTGCATTTACCACTGTAAAACGTACGAGTGAAAGATGGCATGTACCACGATTTTCCTTGATTCTTTAAGCCTTAGAGTCCAGTCAAACAGTCATGGTGATCCACTCCGTCCGTATGTTTGTGGTAAGAACTTGACAAATAAGGCATCGTCACTTTAACGCTACCCTTTTGCCGCTTCACTCGCTTCATTTATCAAAGAATGGTTCTAAAATGCTGAAATGTGTATCATCATTGCCAGTACTTTCGACACGCACCAGGCAGTTCTTGCCAATAAAGAAAAGAAAGGAAATGAGTACGTGAATGGGTAGATCGCTGTGATGAATTAGGAGCATTAAATCGACTTTTAAATAAACTTCGGGGCGAGAATAGCCAAATTTACAAAAGCTTCATGAAAATGGGTTAAGGATAGTTTGAAACTTTATTGGAAATGGTCACTCTACTTACTCAGAGAAAAAAAATACGTTCTTTTGAGATGCTTTACCAGCAAAATTAAAACTGCAGATAGCGCTTCGATTTCTGGCGACAGTAACTCCTAACTGGCTAAGTTCTCTGCAATATTTATTTCGAGTGCCAAAATGCACAATCAGCATATTTATTCTAGAAGCGTGTGAGACCATTTTCGGTGTATGAAGTTGAGCGAAAATTATTAATCTTTTTCTTGAGCTCTCCACTTACGATACCCTCAAATTTTTAACATGCTAATAATATTCTCATACACCCTCTGTCGGCGACTTTTATCTTAATAATTCCGACTGATCGTTTGTAAATAAATTCTAATTTATTGTTCAAGTAAAAAGGAAAATAAACAAAATTTAAAAATTTTAGATTATATTTTGTTAGATGTAACAGGTCTTGAATAAAAACTGGTTTTTCGAAATCAAATTTCGAATCAAATATTTGCCTTTTCACTCATTTTTTAATTGAAAATTGTATTTTATTGGTTAGTTGAATAACATATAATTTAATTATTTTATTAACCCTCTGAGCGTTATGACCGGCTTTATTCGGTCATCAGAAGTTTTGCTACTTGGCATACATTAGTTTATAATTTAAGATATTTTGCTTTCTTTAATAATGTAAATATCACCTTAATGAATGTAAATTAAATAAAAATACAGTATGAAAGTTTATGAAATGATTTTTATGAAAATACAGACAAAATAGGTAATTATGCAAACTCAATTAATAAATGATATTTAAATACCCGGCCTTCATGACGGATCTAAAATCCTGAGCCTTTCAGAGAGAGAAAACTGAAAAATAAATATGTTCAAAATAAATATTTTGAATCCGACACCCTAATTTAATTTTCTTCTATGTTTTCTCCACAATATAGAAAACCTAAATTCATTCTGATTAGCAGTAATATCCACGTTATATTTAGGTATTAGCCAACTATGGTCATAATATTCAGTAGTGAAGTATTCCATATTACTTCACAAGATGCATATGCAATAAAAACTGTCATAGTTTGATTATCGCTTCATCTCGGCATCGACATAATGGTAAAAACTCGGCACGTCTTTGCGAACACTGCTCGGAGTTACCGACCGGATAGATTTCCAACTGGTTCAATGGAGAAAAGGAATCGCTGATTCATCTTCCCTACGTTTCTATTCGGTCGAAGTAAGCGTTTACATTGCCAAAGAAGTTGCAGCGAGAGGCTCGCTACAAGTCAATCGGATAAATGTAAACTGGCTTTTACTGCAGTAGAGGAAAAAAATGTAACAATATTCTTTGTTACCAGAGTGAGCCTAAAGTTTATAAAAGCCTTGACTCGGATAAATTGTTTCAGCTCATTAGTACCGTAGTACGTGAAGATCATGTTATTAATGCATTGATTTGCTGAAAACTTCCCAAACATCAGAAATGTGTTATTGGGCATGGCAAGGGAAGTTTTATCTTAAAGGAACAGTCATTGGGAAGTTGACTCATTGTTACATTATCCACAAAACGTAAATAAAATTTGAACTTTCGGAAATGGTTTCGTGACATGACATTTTTCACCATGGCAATGCTAAGATCTTCAGCGTCTGATAATTAGTTACATTCACAGATATTTGAGTGATAAGCAGGTAAAAGCAAAATTCTTAAAAAACACTTATTTCTTTAGCTATGGTAACGAAATTGTGTTCGTATTTTACATTTATTGCATATCACACAAGCTCTTTTACATGTTGTAAACTTTATTGGAATACAACTGTTAAAAAACTCTGCTATAGTTTTCTTCTTTCAGTGTAGTTTCCATCTGCTTAAGTTGCTTACAGTTGAATCAGCCGGCGTTTTCCATTTTGTGTATTGTAATGATTTTATCTTTGCCCAAGATGACAGATATTACTTAGCTTTTCATCTGCATTTTGTTGTCGAAACAACAGTGCTTGTAGAAGTATCAGACACGACGCTGTCCCACTTCTAACCTCCAAAGGTTCAGGTGTGTGGTGTATTTAATTATGGCAAAGCACACGAGGGCTATCTGCCTAAGGGGAGGGATGCCTTCGTGGAGGACTTTCTAAGGGAAACTGGCTCGTATACAGGTTACACTTGGGGAAAACCACGAAAATGCCCATGCAGCCAGCCCGTTCGCGGGATTCGAACCTCGGACCGAACTACCAGTGTTCAGCGACTTTACCGCTCGGCCGCTGGTGGGCCTTCCAAAGTTTCAGGAACGCCCTTTATACGAATCTTAACAGTATTTACTTCATTGGTATCCTCTTCGTCTTCGTCAGTTATTTTACTGGCATATGGTGGTTAACACGGCAATATTAACATCGCACTCATCTGAATCTAAATTATTTAACAGTTCCAATTTTTTTTCTAACTTCAGAAACCTTTGCATAAGCATGACTAAGTAGAAAAAAAAAACCCTACGCACATTTTACTTTTAGTTATAAGAGGAGGAATAATGCAATAATTGCGTTCATGTCCTCCCATTGTTCTACTTAGAAAATAGTTAAGAAATAATACGCTGCAACTTAATAGCATTCAAGCTTTAAGAACGTATTAGGATGATCAAGAAGGATTACTCTCCCCATAAAAAATGCCTAATCAAATGTCTAAAGCATTGAACCCTAATCTTTTCCTTGCATTGACCCTTTTGAACAAATGGTGTTCTTCATAATCCCCCTTACACTTTTATCCATAATATAAAGCATATAGCATAATCGCAATGGCACAAGAGGGGAAGCAGTAGATAGCTTATAGTGTTCTTATCAAACATAGAAGGTAACTTACATAGTGATGACATAATTGCCATTTGAACGTGACTTCTGTTAACAAGTTCTAATAGCCGGTATAAGTGAAACAATATGAGTAGATTTTTGTTCTAGATTATTTGTATTGTTTTCTTTATAATTTTTGATTGTGTCTGTGCTTTCCTTTGTTCTACTGCGCAATAATATATTTAAAAAATATTATTGCTTTTTATAATTTATTAGGTTAGGTTATTTTAATTACGGCAAAGCCTCAAGGGCTATTTGCCTAAGGGGAGAGATGCCTTCGTGGAGGACTTTCTAAGGGAAACTGGCTAGTATACACGTTACACATCGGGAAAACCACGAAAAGACCTATGCAGACAGCCCGTTCGCGGGATTCGAACCTCGGACCGAACTATCAGTGTTCAGCGACTTTACCTCTCGGCCGCTGGTGGGCCCTTTATAATTTATTAAATAATTTGCGCGCGTTTTTTCGTTTATACTTATTTTCTATGATTTCCTCCACACTACATGATAGAACTTTATACCAATAAACAAACAGTCATATTGCTAAATTATTGTAATCCATGAGATCTTGATTTATACAGATCAGTTACCGATACCTATTCGGCAATTGATCCCCAATCGACCCCTTGGTCATCATTGACCCCATAGGGATGTCTATACTTACACCATTGGGAACCCTTGGTCTCAAGTAAACTGATAAGTATTTATATATCGACAAAAGAGAATGTACAAACCTCGCCTCTTAACGCAGCGCGTAAGCAAAGTTGCCTGTCGTCGAGAAGGGAGCTAAATACATAATTCACATCAGCAGAGCTTTTATGTATCCTTATACATGTTCCAGTTATTAGTAACAAAATAATACTAATTTCCATATGTTGTTTTTAGCCATCTTTTAAATAGGATAATGGGATAAAATGGGCTGCGCAAACGCTATCAAGAAATGTTTCATAATGTTTTAATTAATAAAAATCAATTTAATGTAAAATACATTTCATCGCATCACCTTTCAATAATAGACTAGCTTCGGTGTATGTATTCTGAATACCAGACTATCGTTTAGAGAAGGAGTGGTTAAATTCCAAAAAATTTAATTCAGTACAATCTGTTCTAGACATCATTTTATATTTTCATTTCCTGAAAACATAAAATGTATACGCTATTGTCCATAAAGTTCCATGTTCAAATAATTACAGCATTTTCACAACATTTTCTCATTTTAAGATGAAAATATATCACTGGAAGACTGAAACTAAGAAAGAAACTTAGAAACTCGTTAACAGAAGTAAATTGGATGCAAAATACACATAGATTACTTTTCGCAAGAGCTAAATGACAACAGATCAGTTTAGCTTTATTTTAGATAAAACATTGAATTTTGTCAAGATAACACAATTTAAAACGAGTCTTACAATAGATTCAGACATTTAAATTGATAACTGAATAAAAAGTTAAGAATCTGTAGTTTTACCTATTATTAAAGTTTAAAATAAAATAGAACGTATATCTTCCATAAATTGTGTTAGCTATGAAAAAGTTATTAAGCAAAATTTAAATGAACAAGTAAACCTTTTAGTTCGAAACTGACATCAAATGTATAATAATGTTTACCAGCTGCAAGAAAGTTGTGTACAGAAGGCGCACATATATAAGTCCAGTTTTCGAAATTTTAAACTACTGCCAGATATTTTTATATGGTAAGGAACTACAGAGCTACAGAACAGTGGTGAGGATCTAAAGTAAAGCAATTGCAAGAATCAGCGCAAAACTGAGGCGTTTCGCTGTTTTTTCTATAATCAGAAATTTGAAATTCAGATTTCACCAAATCCTGGAAACAAACTTATATCAACTAGGAACCAAACGCCTCAAGTGTTTATCACGTCTAAATGGGTAAAACTTAAAATATCTGATAGAATTAGCATTTTCTAATTTAATGAAATTGAAGAATTTATCAAACAACTTATTATTTTGGATAAATTAATTATGACAAGGAGTTCCTAGTTGTCTCCATAGATGAGTAAAGTATACTAATTGAACTAAAGGAAAATCTTAACTTCGTAAAATATAAACGAAATTTCGTAGTATAGCGTCTCATTATCTCTACTCATGGATAAGCTCATATCCATGAATTGCGTTGTTTATTCTAATTTTCTTAAGATTGTGTTGATCTAATATGATATATAGTGGAATATACCTCGCTACCTTGATGTTTCAGAGACTATCTGGTCCTGATAATCTGTACTCTAAAATTCGCATTAAATATGATACTGTAAACGAAGTCCATAGCAATAAACGCTAATTCTCAATGTTATTTAAAACTAATGTTTAATAAAATGTTTTCTAATCGGAGCAAGAATAAAATTAAATTTTTATTTATATTTAAAATTTGAAGTAAATTAATGGAAGCTTTTTTCCCTGTTTCCTTCTATTTTGATAGATCCATACATGACGCATAAATCGATTAAAAATCTCAATACAAGATGTGTCGATTATATTTGAGTTACGCACCTCCTAGCTCCGATTTCATCGGAAGAGAATAGTTCGATGACTTGATTCGCTTCCAGATCCAAAAATTCCTTTGTCATGACAAGTCTCTCAAAATGCAAGATCATCAACTTGAAGGCGCGTACACTTGCATCCAAGAGACCCAATTTACGAGCGGTGACGTAGAGATACACCATGTTCTGGAAGTGTTCCGATGTTACATGCAGAAGCTGAAAAAGGAAATTAATTTGATATTTCGAAACTTCGCAAGCAATATCGTCTGCAACAATTTTAAAAACGAACTTTTCACATAAATCAAGACATTTCTGAATACGATAGCAAGTGTTTGTACGATCTGAGAATCATTCAAGTCATAAAATCGAATAATAAATTACTTCATTTCAAGTAATGAGACTTTTTATGAAATATAGCCTTAAAAGTGTTTAAAGTTTATATTGTGCTTTTTGTAAAAGTCCCAGGATAAATACATAAATTTGTTTACATTATTTTCCTTTGCAAATGATATTTGCACAAATTATGCTTAGGTGACTACAGAAACTATTATCTAAGAATTGATTAATTGTCATCCTCAAATACGGTTAAAGTTAAGTGGAAAGTAAGACACATTTTTTTCTCTTGAGAATTTAGTATCAACATTTTATGGAACAAAATTCAGAATGAAATGATCTGCAAATATATAATGTTTTTTCCTTTTTAAACTGAGTATATACATGATATTTAGCTTCGAAATGCAAAACGAAAATTATTTGAAAACTATTAAATTTTATCATTAAGAGATAACTCGCAATTTCATTCTAGCAAAAATTCATATATTTGCTCACAATCCCACTTATAGCTTAGTTTAATTAAAAGGAATTTTTCTATGTAAAGAGTTTGGACAAAAAATATAAAATCTTTATAAATAAAAGAATTTTTGTACGCCGTTTACATTACTAATATTTTATAAAATAATTATCTTTATCATTTTATTAGGCTTATCGTTATTCAAAGCGAAACTAAAATAAAACTGCATTACATTTAGTCGTTAATGCTCTTGGAAAGTGATATTAATTAAGATTTAAAAATTAGGGATTTTATTCATGTCAATACAATGTTTCAAATCATAGCTATAGAATCAACTGCTCTAACAGAACACTAAACGTTTCAGTCGTTCATTAATTTGTTACTTATATCATATCAAATCAGGTAATTTTTCAGATAAATTGGCATATGCATTGAAAGGTTTTGGAAATAAAATTTAGCTTTAAATTATAAGAAACAGATGGATTAAACTTCTTATTTGCTGTAAGTAGGATTAGAAAACGTTAGCTTAGTCCAAGAAATCAGTGAAAGGCTGTGTCAATAAAACTAAAATTAATAGAAAAAGGGCAAACGTTGCCTCTCTATGTAAATGAAAAATGTACTTCCTCTAGTAATCTCCTAATTCTTAAGCACTCTACGCTATTCTTAGATCGGTGATAAAAAATCTTTCATTACATAAAGGCAAACAGAATGTGAAATAATCTATGTGATTTTCAGAGAGCATACATAAAGTAATCCCTTTATTTGGAATGCACAATGATTCAAATGTAGAAGCAATGTGATCCAATTATTATGAAAGTACAAAAATACAAATGTATTTGCAAGCACGTATACGTTATCAGAGCCGAAGACGATGGCAAAGGCGAAACTAAAGAAAAGCGCTCTTCTCTAAGACTCTAAGACTTGGTGTCGTGGAGAAAAAGAAGGAAAAGAAAATCTGAAATGATTCAGATTATTAACTTCACACTATAGGGTTTATTAAGATAAAGCACTGTTGAGTCTCAACTTTAGTCTCGTTTTTCCTTTTAGCTTTATTATTAAGAATCACTTCCTCCGTGCTTACTCTACATATAGTTCAACAAAAAGAATAAGTCTGTTGAAAATTTGATGTCTCTAGAAGCCGCTGTTTTCCCGCAGTATGAGAACACACTACATTTAACCAGGCATTTCATCGTTTAATTTCTTTGAAAATAATGCACGGAGATAAGGATAAATGCATGAGTGAGATTGGAGACTAATAGCACATTCACTGTTAAAATATAGACACAAAAGAAAAGAGAATTTTAATCCGCTTTAGATGTTAAAGCATTTTAAAAGTTCACCTACTTATGGTTGCTTTTGAGTTAACAGAATTATACTTCCTGTTCGCTGACTTTCGTTTTCGACTGAATATGAGACTCTTTAAATACGCAAATGATAACAGGTAAACTGGAGAACTAATCAAGTTATAGTTATGAATACATTATAGAAAGAGTAAAATGTGTCAATTGTTTTCTTTTGAAATTAGGATTGCGTATTTATGTCCAGAAGTTTTGAATTTCGTTGCAGTGCTTAGGCAATAATTTCCAATATAATAATTTTAGTATATTTTGATTAATGTGGAAGGTTATGTAATTTCTCGAATCCTTCTAACAGATTGATCATGTGATAATTAGAATGGTATAAAAATGCAATATTGGTTGTTATTCTTCTCCCACGAAAACGTTTAAGAATCATACATATTATTTACTGCAAGGATACTGACAACATCTTTATCTAGGAAATCTCATTTATCGGTAAGGATGTTTATCAAACAATAGAAATTTCTTTGGATGAGCGTGATGAGCTCCAGTCTTTCCGAAATATGTACACATTAATACATGTTGAAACGTTCCTCCTCTTATTATGTTCTTTCTTTGAAAGCTCGTTCAGATTTACCGTTTGGAAAATTTAGTTGAAATAAAAAGAAAGTGTCGGTGGTTTCTGAAAAATAAATTTCGGATTCATTTCCAGTCTAGTGAATGATGTGCTAACTATTGGATTTGACGTGAGGAAACATGGAGTAAACAATGACTTAAAACTATCAACGAAAGAGAGCGGACGGATAAAAAGAGCAAGGATTTTTCGTAGTTTAAAATTTGAATGAAAATTTCTCACACGTTTTAAAAGGGATTTACATTGTTTTTTTTAAACGATCATTTTAAAAATCTTTAATGGTGAATCGAAAACATTCTACAGCATATCATTTTTAATTAAGAGAGAAGAATACATTTCCACCGAAAGATAAAATTTAATCCTACCTGTTATAAAGGCATAATAAATACGTTCATGAAAATAGACTCAAGTGTTATATTAAAATGCTTCATTGAATAATACCACAGTGCAGTGTCGCATCTGCGAAATAATAAAAGATATTGAAAAGATTTATTTATATGAACTACACGTAACAAGATTTTATGTTCAGTCGTTACGGCAACTTTCGGGAGAAGATATATATTAATGGTATATGTCTGCTATTACAGCGTAAAAAAGAAATATATTTGGAAGAATTTTTTATTTTCGGATTCCTGAATAATGAGGAGCTTGTGCTACAGGGAAACATATTTTTTGCTATTTTATTAAATATTTTTGACGCAAATCAGTGACTTACTTCCAATGCCATTGCTGGTGCTTGTAATGGAACTTTACAATGGCAGAAAAGTACCGAAAACTTTTCATTTTCCAGAAAAGACAAATTAAAGGTAATCGCGCAGTGTTCTGTGTTTTACACTTATAATATTTGGCGAAAACAATGTACGGAAATATTTAAGATAACATTACAAAAATAAAATAAATGAAGTCTAGACGAAATTTCTAAATAATCATCATTTCACAATATTGTACTATAATAACTAAGTTTAAAATAGATTCGTACAAAGACGAATTACGAATTAGTAGATAGTTGCTTGCAATGTTTAATCAGGATTTTCATTTTATGGAATTCCTTCTTGAAACTGGTAAACTTCAGTGAAATGAAATTTTTAGAATTCACACGATCTCGTGATTTATTCCGAAGATGTGTTTTTACAGTTTAATAATTCCCAATATAAACTGCAAGTGAAAAATACTGATTTCAGTCTTGAAAAAATTGTTCAGTTTTAGGTTTAGATCTAAAGCTGATTGCTGTATACCCATATCATATAAAATAGATTTCCGTTGTTCTAAAAGCCTATAAGAAGTATCTATTCATATCAACAATAATTTTTGACAACTTTTTCTTGTGTACCTTTTATTTAGAAGATTTAATAAAAGACGTTAATGTAAGACGACTATCACGAAAATTTGCATGGACTGTAATAGATTATTGAGCCATCGCTTGTCTTCACTGGAGACCTAACTGAGATTAAAGACCTCGAGACCTCGAATTTTTTTTTTTTTTTCTAAAATATATGAGAAGCAAATTTTTGGAATTATAAAATCTTAAGGAATCTTAATCTGAAAATGTAAGGGAAACATTTCGGGATCAAAAATTATTTTCGATCTTTCATCAGCATTTACAAAGTTTTGCATAGTAGAGACTGGCTTTTAGGCGCATGAATATTTTATGGCGAAAATTCAAGTAAAATAGAAAAAATAATAAAGGTTACAATTTAAGGATGACTTTAAATATTTGACCTGAATATTTCTATAGTGTTTTCTAATCACCAATTACAGTTCTTTCACAAAAAATATATTCATGTTACTTATACTTCCTTATTATGCATTTGTTTGCTTAGTAACACATGTTAGTTCAAGTGATTATTTCCTCCTTATAATTTTGTTCTGTTTTGATACATTTAAATATAATCCTGCTATTTTTTGTACATTTTATTATGCCTGACATCTTAATTGCTGTATTTATGGAAACTGAATTCAATATTCATAATATTTTTGTATAATAAATTATTATTTTGTGCAATAAATTTTTGATATTGAATTTAATATGCTTCAATCAAATTAATAAGCTAAAACAATTAAGAAAAAATACATAAATTTGCTTATCATTAACAAGAAATACGAACTTAGTTTTACACAATCAGTTTCATTTAAAAGGAAAGTAACGGAAAAAACATTCTTGAAAGAGGTCAACTTCTCCAAACGATTTGAGAACCTTTATTTGTATGCTAAATGCGTACAAAATTCCTATTAAACATTACCATGTGGAGATATTAGATATTTAGGAACAGGAGAAGTTAAAAATGAGCAACGCCTTCGCCGGGAATCAAACCACGGACCTCTGGAATACTCGCCCAGCGTGCTGACCACCACACCACAAAGGCACGCTAAGAAGACGGGAGAAATACCTGATATACTCCCCCTTTTAAAGGGCGACGAGTTTTGGGGGGACCCAGTCGCGAAATCCTGAGTGTGGAGAATCATCATCCACCACCCTTTTAGTTCGGGCGCCACTGTAGAGACATTAGATACTTTTTGGAAGCAGAAGAGAGGAAAAATAACCAACGCCTTCGCCGGGAATCGAACCACGGACCTCTGGAATACATACCCACCATGCAGACCCTCACAGCACGAAGGCACGCTAAGAAGACGGGAGAACTACCTTATATAGTTTCCCTTTTTAAAGGGCGACTGGGGTTTTAGGGGACCCAATCGCCAAATCATGGGTGTGGAGAATCATCATTCGCCACACTTTTAGTTCGGGCGCCACTCTAGAGACATTAGGTAAATTTTTTGGAGGTAGGGGACATGAAAAATAAGAAACGCCTTTGCCGGGAATCGAAACACGGACCTCTGGATTACGCGCTCAACGTACAGACCACCGCACCAGGAGGTTACGCTAAGAAGGCGGGAGAAATATTTTATAACCATATAAAAGAACGGAACCAAAGCATCTCATAAAAAGGACTTTGTGCTCGCTTGTAGAAACCCACGCATTTAGAACTAAACAGCATCAATGAAGTCTGAAATACTAAAAGGGATATGAAATTGAGCTTTATAAGCAATTAAAAAGGTGTCCAATTAAGTTTAAATCCACAGCAAATTGGAATAAGGCCCAAAAAATTCGGAATGTCGAATAAAAATTCTTTCTGCCCTGCAGAATGATCACAGAAATCAACTGAATTTTATCTCATCTGTGTAAACAATCACATCATTTTACGTTGGGGGAAAAACACGTGTTAAAATGACATCTCCTAAAGATAGGAGGATGGTAGATCATCTGACATAAATTTAACATTTTCAATTAAATGCGATATCGTTTGGCATATAACACAATTTCACCTTTAAGTTTGTTATGCATTATCTCAAAACCGCGGGAAAGATTACTTCGAATACAATTGCAGACATGAATGATCTGTAATATTTTCCGAATATAAGGAAATTAATAAGGATCTTAACTTAAGAACAAATTTTTTCAAAACTTTCCTTCTAAACTGATTGATGATTTTCTCAGAGATTTTCAAGTCTGATTCATGCTTTTATTATCTAATACTTCTGTGTGCGCTTTTATGATATAACTGGTTAACAAATCCATTTGGCAGTTGAAAGATTAGTGGTTGAAATTCTGCACCTACATTTGATCGACAGTATCTCGAGTTCCTTGCCAGCTCTTCAGTTAGGTGGAGATTGTAAGGAATCATCGCTTTTATCTTATATTTTTACATTCTTGCATTCGTCTAGAGCATGTGGCAAGTACGAGTACATTCATTAGATGGTAATTAAAAAAGTACGTGGCTTGAATCCCAAGAAGTCGCATCTGATTTTTCAGTTTGTTCGCTTCGAATAGAGAAGTAAAAATATGTCATCGAAACTTAATGTACTCGTAAACCAGCCAGTCTAAAGCCAATTGCTCCTCGTCTAAGGAAAAAAAAAATCTAACTTTCTCTTTTTGGGATAATTTCTTTGACGTATGCTGTTTACTGAAAATTAACAAATGCGTTTTTACAGGATGTGCATAAATTAAAAACAGTTAACATTCCTTAAATATTTTAATTTAGTTTCCAGATGATATGACAATCTGTTTTAAATTAACTTAGCGCTTGTTATTACTTCGTAATTTTTCAACTTCTTTTGAACTCGTCTTTGACAGCAACGAGAATTGCGTTCCCTACGTATATTATTTCATAACCGTATTTTAAAATATTTATGAAGAAAGTAAATTATTAGCTAAACTCCGGAAAGCAAAATAAAACTGCTGACGGTGCTACTTTGGTAGACGGTTGCACGGATTTTGGCGATTTTTCCTTTGGCGAGTAATGCAACTTATGGTAAACCCATTACTGGATAAGTAATTTATGGTAACTGATACTTTGTTGTCATTTTATTAAAAAAAATAATGCGTTTTATTATGCATAAATTACGTGTTTTAAATATTATTTATGGCTTGTAAATATTAAAAATCAATTTAATTTTGCATTTTTATTTGAAATAAAAATGTTGTTGTTTATAATATTTTATATAATTTTATGTTGTGGATGATGTAATCAATGACGTCACCTTACTTAAAAAGTAATTGGTTTTATTAATATCTATAAATTTAATCGGTACTTTTCCGTTTTGTCGGCGCAAGCAATAAAGTCGCCAATAATGGAGAACCGATGCCAAACGGAATATTCTCGCTGGTAACCTTTTAAGCCTCATTTTCAAAACAAGTCGCAGCTTTTTCTTATCAGATTGATTGTTTCTTTCAATACTGGCATATAATTACATAGAATTTTGATCAGATAGTTCAGTTTTATGTCTAAGGCCATTTTCGGTGATTAAATCAATTAGGATGCAATCACAGCTCTTACCCGAAGCCGAAAATATAGAAAAGGAAAGTCAAGGGTTAAATTCATCAATTCTAATGAGAATGCATTAGTGAAGTAAAGCACTGCAGTTTTACATAATTTCTGAGTAAGCTATTCGTACGCATTGAAATATTGCTTGCATTTAAACTTGTGTTCCAAATTAAGATTTAACTTGGAATTAATGTAGATAATTACTGAGAGAATTAGATTTTTGTAGAGTAGTTTACGTGAGATGAGATCGCTTGGGGTCACGTGATATGAACCGGCGAATTAGGATGTTGAATCATGAAAGCATAGTAAATTCTTAAATTAATGTCTTTTTACAAATTTATTGTCTTTATTTATTGGCTTTTTATAAAGTTTTAAGCGATATTAAAATGTTTATGCCTGCAAAAAAAGAATTCTTAGAACTAAAATTTTTTTAATATTTTTTATGTGTATACTGTATGTTGTCGCCAATAAAGTCTGCTTGGCGAGATTTACGCCGGCGAAACGTAAAAGTACCATTTAATCTAATGTTTTAAACATTATTTATGGCTGTTAAATATTAAAATACAATTTAATTTTGCATTTGTTTTAAAAATGATTTTATCATGAATGATTATTTAAATAATTTTAATTCTATGCGTGATGTAATCAGCTCCCTGATTGGTTACTGAATATTTGTGCATTACCGCGCCACTTTAAAATTTTATTATTCATCTCTTCGAATTCATCAGATTTCAAATGGAATGGATATCTCCGTTTCAAAGATGAATGTTGTTATTGGTAATTACCAAGAATTATTGGTATCGGAATGAAACAATTGCCCTTTGAGACCTTATTTTGGCCAGCCTGTCTTTCCTAATTAAAGATTTATTTATAAATTGTTAATACCGTCAGAGGAAATTTATTTTAAATTTCTTGGAAGGAAACCTCAGCTAATTGCTTTCTTCAATGAAGTGCCAGAAATGTAGATCACAGATGAAGATTGGTTAAAAGAGATGATTTAATTATGATTCCGATTTTTTATGTGGCACTTATCAATAAACAACAGGTTAAAATGACTTAGAAAAAATGTAAGTACATATTTTTCTTTTATTCTATATAATTGTATACTTCAATTTTGTATTAAAAAATAAATTTTCAAAATTTGCAGTGATAATTATTGTCACATATGTTTTAATGTTGAATTATATTCTATATAACGTATTTTAAAGTATTTGAATTTAATAATATTCTAATTCTTTTAAATGTTGGTATGATGGTTTTTAATTCGATGTTCAATTTCAGTAATATTTTAATATAATTAAACGTTGGCACAATGTTTTTATAGCAGTGATTTTATTCTCTTTTTTTTCGCTGTATAAAAGTAATAATAATCTAAATAACATGAAAGTAATAATAAGTATTTTATACTTATAGTAAATGTCTTTATTTACACTACTTGCCTGCCATCTTAAAAAACTACATTTTCAACAAAAAAATTAATCCATTACTTTTAACGATATTTATTTATTTATTTATTTATTTAATTTCGAATACTTTACTATGCGTAAAAACAGCGTTTTTCAAGATGGCTGACGATTGTAAAAATTGCGCCAACGTAAATCGCCAAAAGTCCGTGCAACCGTCTACCAAAGTAGTACTAAACTGACAAAATTAAAGCTTGAAATACAAAAATGTGATAATGCAAGTAAAGGTAAGACGAAATAAAAATAATGAAACAAGAAACTAGTTTAAATAACATTATGTTAGAACTTAAAATCTTACATATACGAAGTACCAATATATTCAAGTGATGCAAATGTAAGTTCCATAATTTTGATATAAATACTCATTAAAGCATAAACAAACAAATAGATCAATTTTATACAGGAAGATCTTAGGAGAAAGAAGCTATAATGATGTTGATCACGAGCTTACTTTTGCTTTCAAAATTGTATGTTCAACCAAAAATGCAACATGAACATACAGTTTCATTTTCGATGCCAAAATTATGCAATAGTAATTCATGAGGAGAATCGCATTTTTTAAAATCAAAATCTGCATGTTATAATCTATCAACCGCTGAAATTCCTCATAAGAAATATTTTGTGAGAAACTGTGGAAATGCTTTTTCTTTATTATTACTTTCATTGTAATACTAAATGATTAAGTATGATAATTTTCTTTAAATTTTTAACTTCTAGATTAAAAAAAAATTCTAAACACACCCAAAAACTAAACTTCTTTAGAGGGAAAAAATGTAAATATGGGTTCATTATAAGCATTAGTTACTCTACGACAGAAATGATGCAATCGCAGTTCTTTCTATGTTTCCATTGACACTTTTGCAACTCATAAAATTAATTACTTTCCACATAAAAGCAAACTAATTATAATCTTCAGTTTAAATTAAGGAAATACCTCACAGGTCTTACTTCAGTGCATCGCTTGCGTGCTCCTTTGATTCCTAATTTCCTTGCAGCTCTATATACTTCACTGAGATCTTGACACGTCACTTTCAATTCTCCAGTATACATATACTCCAATAAAATCTCAAATGCTTTTGGCGTAACACTAGGCAATTCCAGCTGAAAATGAGAATATTACAAATTTAAGTAATTATATATCTATAAATGTAAATTTTTTGCTGTTAATTATGTACATAACAATGTCACTCAGAATCTCCACGTATATAGTAAGAAATATTTATTAGTTTCAACAAATGGAAGATTAGAATATTGCGGTTACATTGAGAAAGAGACTCCACAAAGAGATTGCAAATATTTGACACGAAGCTTGCATCTTATCTCATTTGACTGATTTGCTTGGAATAATCATTTTACAAAGCTTATAAAAAATACATTTGCTTGGAACTCTCTATACATGCTTAATTATATTTATGAGCCTAGATTCACAAATGAAATTTAAAATTTGTGCATGGTATACCATTTCCCCGAAACTTCCAATTTTCTTTTACGAAATAAGTTCGATAAAATTGCTAATTGTTAGTAAAATTTGTGAGTGAATTAAAGTGAATAATGACTAATTTGACGACTGTTTTCAACGGTGAACCGTGGGGTTATAAATGATTCCCAGGATGTTTTTGTTTCTTTTTAAATAAATACGTTTTTGTACTTATCTATAATCCACGTATAATTCTATGCATTTTTAGTACTTATTCATTTATTTTGCTTATTGCCTATAATTAAGAAGCGCTCATAACTCACCTAAATTATTTCTCTAAACTTTTCCAAGAAACCTGTGAAAATTTGAAATCAGCATCACTTATATAATCTGAAATGATCGTAAACGGATAATTTGGTGAAAAGGCTTAAAATATTACACATGTTTTATTTTCGAGCTCGAATACTCTGAATCTCTTTTTTAAACTGTCGCAGTTTGAAACTGATTCCCGGCTTTTTTAACTTATTCAGTAAGTACAGTCTTGAGTACTCGAAGCAAAAATTATTATTCTGAAGCTCCAGCAGAACCTAAGTTATTTTTTTATAAATTTTGAAAAGATAAAAGTTCTGATAAGGCTGTTTGAAAGAAAAATATAATTTAGTTTTAAGCATTGTAAAACATTTAAACTAGTTACTTTATGCAAAACACATTTTTATTTCTCACTTAACTTTTCATAAATTCTTTGTAAATAAACTCTGATTTTTGTCATCATTCATTGATCTATAGTCGCATTTTAGTGCTCTTCTTGAAACTGTTCTTTAAACGCTATCAATAATCGATTAGTTCGCTCATATATGAAAAGCGCTTTCTACATTTTGTATGACAGATGGTTCAAACAATTAGAAAAACTAAAATACATGAAAACATTTTCAGATAGCTATGAATTCGCCTTGCATTAAAATTATGCCAAAGTAAAAAAATGGATTTAAATAATATTAAACTGTAAATTCTTTAGCGCATTCGCATAAAATCTGGACGATATATGTACAAAATGAAGGAACAGTACAAAGTTTTAAATAAAGCGGAAGCAAGGCAAACAAAATTGATAAATTTTGAACGGATAAGTTACGTAATTGACAACTTTTTCACGTAGTATTATAGACATTAAATGAAATTAATCATGAATCCAAAATTTAAAATGTGCTTGATAGAGATTAGATTATGTATAAACAATATTCCTAGCACAAATATTCCTCTAAGGCTTTTAAAAACGCATTTCACAAAAATTACGCTAAGGAAATCGATGCACTAATAAATAATCCCCGCGTTGCGTCTTGAACTGAGTTACATGATAACGATATCATCGTGTGTTTCAATAAAACTATTACAATTAATAATGCCTGACTCACTTGGTTCTTCTAATTTTGTCAATGTCATTTTGGAAAACCAGAGAGATAGTTTCATATATTTGTTTGCAGAGTACATTAAAAATAGGTTGGTGTTGGTGTATTTAATTATGGTAAAACACACTAGGGCTATCTGCCTAAGGGGATGGATGCCTTCGTGGAGGACTCTAAGGGAAACTGGCTCGTATACGCGTTACAACATGGGGAAAACCACGAAAACACCGATACAGCCAGCCCGTTCACGGGATTTGAACCTCGGACCGAACTACCAGTGTTCAGCGACTTTACCGCTAGGCCGCTGGTGGGCCCACATTAAAAGTAGGAAGTTTCCGTTTGATCTTTGAAAGTCGCTGGATACTACTATTGGCTCATCATTATATTCGAGTAGTTTCCTCCTCGTTTTGATTCACATAGGTTACATGAGGGTTTTTGTTTCATTAAAACCTGCATACAGATCCCTTTCCTTTGTAAAATTCTCCGTGACATTATCTATGCTTAATCTAGTGTTCATATTTTCCAAAATTTATTAATTATTTCTATTTACTTTTCTAATTATCACTACTGGGAAGAATGGTTCTTTTTCGTTTCATTTATTGAATATTCACCATGATCGATTATAACGGTTTTCATTTACATTTTCAGTGTCTACTAAAGCTATGAAGAAATACTTTGTTGAAGTTCTAAATGCATTATCTTGTTTCAATATTTAATTTTAAGCTGAAAGTCATGTGAAGTTGTTTTAAATACTTTTCATTAAAATCCGCACTTAATTTCGCACATCTTGTAGCTGATGTGAAAAGGGAGAATTATAAAATAGTGAAAATTAATGATTACATAATGTATGTTTCTTTATCGTTTGTTGTTGTTATTGCTAATGTTCACTTGTCTGATCTATAGTCAGCTCAAGCCCACGAAATTCCTCGTGGCAAGAAGCGAAAGTTTTTACACCTGCCGTTGGCAACAACCTTGAGCACCTTACAGGTGACAATGCGATTTAGCTTTTCCGCCCCAACTTTTGATGAAGAGCACTTCGAGGGACGGGTCTGAAAGCCTCTTAACCTCTTCCCCAGCCATTAGAGAACTTGAGGACTTTCGGCTCGCGCATATTTAGAGTGCCCGCTTGCAGCACGGGCAGTATAGATTTACAAACATTCATGCGTTCTCCGGGATTCGAACCCGGGCTTTTCGGCACTGCAGTCAGCGGAGCTAACCACTATAACGGTTGGGCGGCTATTTATCGTCTTATGTAACCAAACAAGAAGATAGATTCTTTTAGATTTAGGCAGAAGATCATGAATGACATACGCAGGGTTTCATAATTATGCAATGTCATTCGTTAACATTCAGCCCGGTGTATAATTTTCCCTTCTAATGTAGCACCTAAGAAATGCGCGCATTTGACTGGACATCACACTATCGCAGGAAGACTCCGACTTGATAGCAACCAAAAGTTTTTCTGTTGTTTAACATATTTTGCTTATGTTAAAAATCTGTCCTATACGCTTACGTTTCCATATACTTCACCAAATTATCTAATTGAGAAGAGTTTTAAATAGGATAAGAATCTAAGTTAAGAGAGGAGCGCTGGCAACGACCTGTCAGTCTTAATGTGAATCCCCTATTTTTATCTGCTGTGAGCGGTGTTTCTCCAGGTAAGTTAATTTCTCTTTAGCTAAGACACACTTTCAGTTTTTCTGCTGCCAAAATTATTCAAAAAACATCTTCCATTGGAGAACTGGATTTTCTAGAGGATTTCACATTCATAAAAATCTTGCTGTTCTAGTTAACGATCCTAATTCCAATCCAAATTTGCCTTCGGCCTTTAAAGAAATTATGTTTTAGTTCTGGTTTCACCAACAGATTGCGCCACTTGCTTATTCTTGTCCAGGCTTTCTTATCTTATCTAATCATTATTTCCTATCTGGTTCATTTGCGGTTTTGCATCTGAAGATGGTGGTTCGGTAAAACCATCGAAACTAGTCCTGTGAAAATTTTGTAAATATAACGCTGATTTTTGTTGTTTGATTTCTGAATTAGTTCTCTTTAGCTGTTGAATATTAATTGATAACTTGTTAAAATTATCGTGTAGATGTTATACTGAATTTTAAAGAATTTGAATTTAGAGTTGTCTGTTATTCCTCTGAGAAGCAGAATTAATTTTGTGTTTATTAAATTTAGTAATACAATAGATGACAATGAAATTTTAGTTGTAATCATTTAAATTTCTGACACTGTAGTAAAAGTCGGGTCGAATTTAAACAAAGTGAGTATGTCCTTCTCAGTGTTATATATATATCCTTCTCAATGTGAATTGCTGATCTCATTTACAGGAAGAGCTCAATTACTTCTCTATTTGGTTGTATAGACTTCTCTATTTTGTTGGAGAGACTTTAAAAGTCTCTTTAAAGCTATGTTTGGTTCCGTGTACAATCAGCCGACTTTTCGCTTCACTTTAGTTCTGCTATGAAATAACACCGGGCACAAAGGGAGGCTTAAAACAGATCTTTTCATTAAGTCTTCAGCATATGTATAATTTATACTAATGGTTAATAACAGAATATTGTAAACGTAATTAAATATGTTTAACATTTAAAATATGATACATACAAGATGGACTCAGGCCAACTCGACTCAGACGAACAGTGGCTAGCAAAGTATAAAGCCGTTAAAGTAAATTTAGCACTGGACAAATGCAACCCACCATTGTGCTGGCCCCCGTGAATGTCCTTGCCATTGGAAGGGTCCTGGCCGAAGAACAGTTTGTACAAGCGGTGCCCATTAAGTGTTCAGCCAGTGACGCCTACTTATTCTCACGTCCGCTTGGGATGGATTTGAGCAATGAATGGAGATATAATTTACGTAATAATGACAGTTATTTTATGTTTCAATTATTTTCTTTTGTTGAAATGGGCGTGGCCTGTTATGATCCGTCAGCCCAACTTGTTTGGTTAGGTGGGTAGGGCTGCGCCTACTACTGATACTGATATGTAGAAATGACAACCGTGTACATGTCTTAAGTTTCCGTGGTGAGCACCTCAATCCTGCATTCGTTTCAAAGGTGGTACACCGCCGCAGAGGAGGTGTGATGTAATAGTGCGCTATAGGATACACCCAGCCACCTCTAATGTAATGATCCACGGCACTATGACAATCCAGCGGCATGTTCATGATATATTTCAGCCACATGTGTTGCCATTCATGACAAGGCTCTCAGGAAGCATGTTTGCAACAGAATAATGCTCATCTACACATAGGAATGTCTTTGTCAGATTAGCATCCTTTCTTGTACTGCTCGTGCACCAGATTTTTTACCAGTAGAACATGTTTGAGATTATTTTATGCCGAAAGCTGGACAGCACAGGAGTTTGGTTGAATTAGTGACTCTCTTAATATCAACTGTGGAATACGATGAAGTGAGATACTATAAGGAAATAGTATGTCTCATTGAGCGTCCGTAATGCATCGTGTATTCACGCTAAAAGTGGCCAAACAATGTACTAGAACCTTCATTTATTTGTTGTGTTCCCTTTAATAATCATTTTGCTATGGTTTGTAGTCACTTACTTATATTCACGTTGCACTCTCAAATATAAAATTTCCGTTTGACTCTGACTACACTTTCCTGGCCCTCAAATTCCTATGGCAATGAATGCTGTATTGTGACGGCCAGCAATTGCAACCACAAGCTCTCTGCTAACTTCTAGAACTCTTCTTATAAACATTAACTAATTCCCGTCCCAATAACAGACTACGAACATAAACGTGATTGTGCAAAAACAATGATAATTGGTTATAAAAGATAATCTATATATAAAATATTTAATCTAATTCCTATAAAATCTCGGGGCCCACCAGCGGCCGAGCGATAAAGTGGCTGAACACTGGTAGTTCGGTCCGAGGTTCGAATCCCGCAAACGGGCTGGCTGCATGGGCGCTTTCGTGGTTTTCCCCATGTGTAACGTGTATACGAGCCAGTTTCCCTTAGAAAGTCCTCCACGAAGGCATCCCTCCTCTTAGGCAGATAGCCCTCGTGTGCTTTGCCATAATTAAATACACCAACACCAACACCCTATAAAATCTCACATCCAATTCATTGCATAACAGAGGAAATAATTTCCTGAAAGTATTATTGTGATAACAGTACTTTTGAAAAGGCATTATACACAAACAACAGGATTTGAAGAAATAGAAAAGAAACTAATTATTCGATTTTTAAGGTAGTTATGCATTGAGATCTTGTTCTTCTCAGACTGGCTATTATTTAGACTTCATTATATGAAAAATAAGCCAAGCTTACTATTATTCACAAATCTTTACCTAATTATCTTCGACCCCCAAAAGGAATGAACCGTAATGTGACAATCTTTACCTAGAATTTTTTACATCTATTCATCTATCATGCAGTCATATATTTTTAATTCGCAAATAACGCATTGAACGAGGGTAATCTCAAGCGATTTGAATTATAATCTTTTGTTCGCAATTCTAAAAATACATGTTTGCATTTTACTATCACCAATAATTGTTTTGCCGTGATTATGGTTGATTGACCGTTTGGAGAATTTGTGTATTCAACCAAAGGAGCAATCATCTGCTTTTTTGTTCTGAAGTTTATAAAATATGAAAATTGAAATTTAACAATTGTCTTACGTGATGGATATCATTATACCCTGGCTTCAATAGAACGTCGGTGAAGTACGGAGAATAGCAAGCCAACACTGCCTTGTGGGCTTTGAATTCCTGATGCTGTACTACAATTACGACATCTGTCATTGCATTCTGTTTCCACAATGAGGCAGCGTACACGCCGAGCTTCGCATGATGATCCTCACTGGGAACATTAGGGCATGATGTGGCAGGTACTGTAGCAACTTTTTTGTTGTTCTGCAGATTTAGATTTGGAATTCGGAAATTATTAGCTATTCGTCTTTTTGCGGTAAGTAGCGGATGAGCAGGAACTTGACTCTAAATGTGAAAACCATAAATAAAAATATTTGGATTAAGTAAGCGTTTAAGATATTGAATTTAACTGAATGAAGTCTTTTTGGAATAAAAAACTTATCATCTCTTTATTTGCTTTTAGTAATGTGATATTAACTAAATTTTATACTGTTGAATTATAAATTATTTTATTGGATCTTAAAGTTCGAAATCAGATTTTTATCCTATCATACTCGAGGAACCTCATGAAAAATCATGAATTTCAGTTGTGATAGGACAGAATTACATAGATTCTTTTTATTTGTGATTCAAACACTTTGATAAAAACCAAGAAATTTGAAGCTTTCTTTTTACTATATTCAACCTCATAAGTTTTAACACTTCGTTTATTTCAAAGACAATGCATACAAAAATATCCGAGTCATATCACAGCCTCTGTTGGTCATTTCATGAATCGAGAAGCATTTGTGATTGCAAATAATGCCATTAACAAACACAATACATTTTATCCAAATATCGATTTGGCTTAATGTTGGCGATGTTGGCTTAATTCTTTTGATTAATAATCATTTCAGTAACCGAGTAGTTAAAACTGTTGCATACTGGTAGTTCGATCCGAACGAGACCCCAAGTTAACGAACTGGCTGCATGGTTTTCTCCATGTTAACATGACAGTTTACCTTAAAAGGTTCTTCAGAAGGCATCCCTTCTCTTAGATAGATACCTTATGTGTTCTCTCGTCTCATTCCGTGTTCAAAAACCCTAACTTAATCCTTTTAAAGTTATACTGGGAAGTTTCCAAAATTATGATTTTAATAGATTAAAATTTATTAACCTTCTAAACTACAAGTTAAAGAAATTACAAGTACTTTAAATGTTTCTTTCCTTTGTATCACATTATGACAAAATAGCACATTATATGGATCTCTGTCATCGAGATCATGACCCTGAGAAAATCATCTCTAATTATGATCAGCTTCTTCGGGAACAAAAATAAACTTTGAGATTGATCTCTCTCAGAAAATCACGCAAGATTTAATACAAATGGTTATTTTTAGAAAGGATCTACAATATTTGACTACATGCTACAAAACCTGCGAACAAGTGAAATGATTATTTGCTATAGAAACAACAAATATTTTTATAAGTTCTTGTAAATATAACCATAGATGACTGGTATTTCCCAGAGACGAAACATGTGATACAACTTTTAATTTTTCTTAATTTTTGTAAAATAATTTTTAAAGCTTTATAGGATTTTTATTTTAAAGTTAGCTCTTGAAATATTGAAGTTAATTTTGATTTAGCTGTTTGATAAAATACTTCATGGAGTGTTGTCAGAACTGATGTTAAGATAATAATTTTGATAATTAAACATGTTTAGTTGAACTTTTTCGTAATGATTTTTAAAATGTTAAGGCTTCTTTAATGATAAATTAATATAAAATTTAATTAAATCCTTACTAACTAATTATTTCGAATTTATAGATATTTTCAAAATTTTAGCACATGTTTGTTATATAATTTATAAAACCCCGCACTAAATTAACTTTATAGTAATTTCTTAACCCATTAACCGCCAAAACTACAAGGAATGTTTCTTTTCTCATGAAAATAATAACAAATATTAAATTAAGCTTTTATAACATAAATTTACATTGAAAATTTAAAAAATGCTCTTACCTGTGGAAAAAGCGATTGTTGCGTTCGCGCAACGTCAGCGGAATAAGACTACGGATGTTTAGTGAGTAGGACGATTGTACACGTGTGATGTTTCTTTTGAGTGGAGTGCAGGATTACTTTTTAGCTGTATAACGTTTTATAAATCTACAAATCTCTTTACTTGTAATTAATTTAATATTAAAATATACATTGTATTTCTTTTACAAATACAGATTATTTCATTTGAAAGATTCAAGCATGAAAAGCTTGATTACAATCATGATGTAAAGCTACATTACATACTTTGCATCTATAAACAGTCTGGCTATGCTAATCTGTTTACAACAAAGTCTTTTGTTATTAACGGACTTTACTATAAAATGTCTACCATCTCCATGCAATGGTTTTTGAATGCCGAATTTACTAGGTCTTCCTGTTGCTGATCTATTTCTGGCTAATTCTACACTCTCAATAGGAGTTTGCAAAAGGAATAATGCATTCTTGCGTCTGAAATCTAAAAGAGACTTTATATTTCCAGTAGTAAAAAGTGGTGATATTTAGTAAGTTTAGATACGGTCTCACCTCATATAATTTATCAGTATTGTCAATTTGACTATTGTCAAATGCAAATTCTGCTTCATATTCCTGTACTGCAAACGTGATACTAATTCTCGTACAACAGGAACAGAAATGTCCTTATCAAAAGACCAATACATTTTTTCTTGAGGTAAAGAATGATATCCTGTAAACAATAATATTTCAATAAATCTTCTCATATAGGCTTCAGATGCAATAAATTCTGGGCTCTTTTTTTTTTTTTTTCTATTGCTGAGCATATATATTTGTCTGTTCAACGAGAAGAGAGTAAATGTCTAAACCAAAAAGAAAATCGAAAATCTGTGCACTAGTTTTACTTTGTGTTTTGTCTTTTATAATTTCTCCTCTATCTCTTTCTTCATGTTCTTCCTGAGACATAACTAACAGTTCCTTTTTTATCCACTTCAAGATTTCAGTCTTCTGCTTTTTAAACTTTTTAGTATGACTATAACTGCTTTTAGAAGGCTGAAACTTACTTCTTACGTTAATTTCAACTTCCCCAGCAGTATCATTTGGTAAAATATCATTATCATTTTCTTCTTCGTCACTAGCTTCTGCAATTTCTGGGAGAACAACAACAATATCAGTTTAATTCTGGGGATTATTAACATTATCATCATCTGTTTCTTCATCAAAAAATCTTTGAAGGGCTTCTTCTAATGTAAGGTACCTCGTTCTAGGCATTTTTGAAAACAACATGAACTAGAAACATCGAAAGGAATGAGTGAAAAAGGAGATTGACTACCCGTTTCCTGCTGACGTTGCATCAACGCAACACCTGTTTTTCCTTTCTTCCCAAAACAAATATAAACATCTGACTGATGTAATGTTCTGATAAACGGTGACCTTGACTAAAAATAGATCATTCATAAAGACGGCGATTCTTTCCTTAAATATTCTCAGCAAAAATACCCGGTCGAAAATTTTGCTTAAATTTTGCTTAAAGTATGAGATTAATTATTACTAATTAATTACAAAATGATTGAATGATTGAATTATTACTAATTAATTACAAAATGATGAATTACTTATTAATTATAAAATGATTGTTGTAGGCAAATATTTTTTTACAGAAATAATCTTCATAATATTCCCTACACAAAATCATCTGTTGGTATAATCTTAATATAATCTTAGGTAGTTATATTTATATACGCATTTATTTTGACCGTTGCGTCAACGCAACACCAGCGGCTAATGAGTTAAATTGTTTTTAAACAATTTAGACTCTCTCTCTTCTTCACTATGCATCATGGTATATATTTTATTTAATCTAATAACAGAAGCCTTCGAAATTTCGTTTCGATTTTCGTGAAATATATTTCAAGGAATGAGGAAAAATTGAGATTAATCATAGAAAATGTAATAATAAATTTAAAATTAAGAAATTAGTTAAATTAAAAGCTAGATTAATAATGTAAATATATAATATTAAATTTATTAAATTAAGGAATTATTATTAATTATTTTATTATTTATTATATTATTATTAAAATTAAGAAATTATTTAAAATAAAAGCTAGATTAATAATGTAAATATATAATATTCAAATTCAATTTGTAATTTATTAAAGAAATAAATAAACTCACTGTCTTTATCGTAAAATGGAGAACTTAAAATTTGTTGGAGAAAATCACAAATAAAATATGGTATTTATATCATAATTCATGTCCATGCTGTCGTAATATAAAATAGCTAAGAAATCACTGCATGATTATAATTACTGTCTTTATTATTATTAGCATTATTATTAACATTAAGAGAACTATTGCCAGTTATATGAAAAAAAAGATTTCGATGCAATTCACTGTACATGATTTAAGACTGTTCCTAGGATGTTTACTCTCTTATGCTCTTAAAGGCCCACCAGCGGCCGTGCGGTAATGTCGCTGAACACTGGTAGTTCGGTCTGAGGTTCGAATCCCGCGAACGGGCTGGCTGCATGGGCATTTTCGTGGTTTTCCCCATGTGTAACGTGTATACGAGCCAGTTTCCCTTAGAAAGTCCTCCACGAAGGCATCCCTCCCCTTAGGCAGATAGCCCTCGAGGCTTTGCCATAATCACACACACACACACACACACACTCTTATGCTCTTAAGTGAATGTGAATCTTATTACATTACATTCACGATGCTATCTTGAAAATGTCTACCAAACCATGTAATCACTTCTCTGATTTTCAATCTCATTTGCAAATGCGCATTGCCTAGCAGTTAGATGTAATTCTCCTACGCAGTCAAATACAAATTGGCAAATGTCTCATATAGACAAGTTTAAAATTCATGAGTGGCTATTAATAGAGCCATCCGGTAGTGCTCGCATTTGAATTAAATAGCACCCTGAAATGCTTAGATTACGCACTGTTCACATTTCAGTTAGATTAGACATGAATAGAAGATCTGTGACGAATGTGACAGATTTAATCATACACAGTATTTAATCTTGCAGAGTGATAGATATTACAAAGCATTATTTGCGAAAACTTATTTGTGTCAGACATATTTTTTTTTCCAATGGCAGATTGTGAACAATTACAAATGTAACCCAGTCCATTAATCCATACAAGGCCAGATGTGGTTCTCTTTATTACAGAGGCACCTAATAGATGGGCCACTATCGCCTTTCCTATGAAGGGGACGGACAGTTAAACCATGTCTTCTCCGGGATTCGAACCCAGGCACTTCGGCATCGCAGACAGCTTCCCTGATCGCTATACCGACTGGGCGGTATTTGTGTCAGACATGTACGGGCAGATAAACATATT